AGGGTGAGCATCAACAACTCTGTAAGAAATCTAAATTCTAAGACACACAGGTTCGAAAATAAATACTTTGATTTTATTGATATTATAAAGTACATTCATAGCTAATAATGTGAAAACGTTAAACAAAAAATAGTTTATGTACGAAAACGATAAAGCCATAACATTACAGTGTCAAACCAAAGAAAAAATATCCTAATAGATTACTCAGGGTCGATACGACCCGTACAATCCAAAAAAGAGATGCTCCCAAATCACAATTCGCCTCAAGTCCGAAGACCAACTGAGTCGCACTTGCATTTATGAACTCAATGAAACCCTCTACAGTTTCAACTTGAAACGTAAACCCTCTGCCACTTGATATTGTGTGCACTTATATTTAATAGAAAATGATCCTGGGTTCTCTCAATCATTGAACAATTCAAACGATTGTCCAATGCACATTTCAAAATCCTAACTGGTCCAGAGTTCTAATTCAATACAAACCACCTGATCATGAGTTCACAAACATATTAAACAACATTTATAACATAAATAATATATTTGTAAACAGAACAAAAAATCTCGCCAATTTCAGAATTGAAAAACTATATCTCGATTTGTGTGTCGTTCAAAAATTGTAAAAAATAGAACAATGAAAGCTATCAATGAAATTTCACACATAACTCTATTTTAACTAATTAAACATGAGTATACAATTAGTTTGGTCAAACAACCCCAAAATTGGGTCAAACTGGGACCTGAAGGGCAAAATGGTTATCTTACTGAGATATTAACCGGAACATCGGATCACCATATGGAGATTCAGTCCAAAAAGGGTATGGATTTGAAAGTAGGATATACAGGGAGGAGATTGGCATTGGCAAGGAGTAGATTTGTTGTACTATGGAGGGAGAACAAGAGGAGAGAAGTTGGATACTTAGCTGAAAAGGAAAAAGAACGAAGAAGAAGAATTCGGAAGAAGAAGAATTAAGAAGAAGAAAGGGGGAGGAGGAAGCCTACTCCTACGACGCGAGAGGGCAGTGGTGGTTGATCTACATCTGGTTGATGGGGCTGGTCTCCTGTCTCCCCAAGGAATCCCCCTGTGGTCTCCAATTCCTGATCTGACGCTTCAAGTTAATATCTCATGTAAGATAACTATTTTGCCCTTCAAGTCCNGTGTTGTCAATGTGTGTGCATACATAGGGGAGAAAGGGAAAGAGAAATACATCAATATCAAAATTAAACAAAAAAACTGCATAATGAACTCACAAGCAAGCATAAAATTTGTCGGGTGATGTAATATTAAAAAATAACTTTCATGATACAAGAGAAAAGGGAAAAATAGAAATCAAACTGGCTAATTTTCNATTCATTATTCTATTTTTTACAATTTTTGAACGATACGTAAATCGAGATAAAGTTTTTCAATTCTGAAATTAGCGAGATTTTTCGTTCTCTTTATAAATATATCATTTATGTTATAAATGTTGTTTAACATGTTTGTGAACTTATGATCAGGTGGTTCGTATTGAATTGAAACTTTGGATCAGTTAGGGTTTGGAAATGTGCATTGGATAATCGTTTGAATTGTTCAATGATTGAGAGAACTCAGGATCATTTTCTATTAAATATAAGTGCACACAATATCAAGTGGCAGAGGGTTTACGTTTCAAGTTGAAACCGTAGAGGGTTTCATTGAGTTCGTAAATGCAAGTGCAACCCAGTTGGTCTTCGGACTTGAGGCGAATTGTGATTTGGGAGCGTCTCTTTTTTAGGGTGTAAGACTCCTAAAAGGTTGGATTGTACGGGTCGTATCGACCCTGAGTAATCTATTAGGATATTTTTTCTCTGGTTTGACACTGTAATGGTATG